AGTTGCTATCTCTAAGTGATTTGGGGGGATTGTCTTCACGGGGGCCCAAAGGTGGAACAGGCAGCTTCTGCCCTCTAACCCGCAGCAGGGCTGGAGTTGGCCGCCGGTTCGGGTCTCGGGGGGGGGGGGGGGGGGGGGGGGGCGGCTATGGGATGTTTTGATCGTTTCCTGTGCCCTGCCGGGTCCTGCATTTGCTGTCCACCCGCTGGCCTGTGGCAGTGGAAGTGCTGGGGAGCACAGTGGAGAGTATTGCTTGAGCACATGGATTCTGGAGCCCAGTTGCCTGGCTCGAGTCCCAGCTCAGCCACTCCCATGTTATGTGCCTTCAGACAAGTTATTTAATACTGCTGGGCCTCAGTTGACTAGTCTATATAATGGGGATAAAAACAGTAACCACCTCATAGGTTTGTCATGAGGGTTAGGCGAATTAGCAAACGTAGGGCACCTAGAACAACTCCCGGCACATAGTAAAGTATTAGTTTACAAAAGTTCAGATGGCGGAGAAAGAGAAGAGCCTGTGGTTGGGAGAGTCGGGATAAGAGATGGGACCGGGAATACATCTGGGAGACAGTGGACTGTGGCAGACGAGGGGAGGACACAGGTGGTACCAGACACTGAAATGCTTGTGCCAGAGGGAGGCTGCAGACTAGTTCGGGAGCAAGCAGTATGAATCACGACCATTGCGGGAGCACCCGCCATGTGCTCCCTGCTTCACACACAGCACTGCTCATCTCACACGACCTCTTCCCAGTCCCTGTTCTTTATCCTCTTATTTCAGAGGCATAGCCAAGGCTTGCCCAGGATGCAACGTGTCCCTGGCTCTCCCTGCCGGTCACTGAGGGAGTCAGAGTTTGAACCCAGGTCCATCTGACCTCAAAGCCAATGTCCTCTGTTCTGTGGACCCTCGCTTCTATCACTTAATGGGGCAGGAGTTTCCAGCCAGCGCGCAGTCCACTGGGCTCTGGATAAATCTGAGTAATAAGCAGCCTGGTGCCAAGATAATGAGCAATAGAATTAATAACCAGCAGAGAATTTCTGGAAGGGGAACACAAGAAACTGTTAAAAGGGGTTGAGTCTAGGGAAGTTCTAGGGAGTTGGATGAGTGAGAAACTTCTGGTTTCATACTTTCAGGGGCTCTTTGAATTACTTTAGTGTCTGCAAGTAGTACACTTTTCAATTAAAAAAAACAACACCTGTGGGCTGTACCTTAAACTCCTTAAAGTGAGAGCCGGGTTTTATTCACTTTTCCATCCCTTCAAGACCTGGACCAGGGCTTCCCCGGTGGCGCAGTGGTTGAGAGTCCGCCTGCCGATGCAGGGGACACGGGTTCGTGCCCCGGTCTGGGAAGATCCCACATGCCGCAGAGCGGCTGGGCCCGTGAGCCATGGCCGCTGAGCCTGCGTGTCCGGAGCCTGTGCTCCGCAACGGGAGAGGCCACAGCAGTGAGAGGCCCGCGTACCACAAAAAAAAAAAAAAAAAAGACCTGGACCAGTGACCTCACACAGAGGTACTTAGTACCTGCTTTTGGGATCCACTTCTTGGGTTTCCCCCTGCACTGGTCTGGTCTGGCCTGGCTGTACCACTGACCTGCTGGGTGATCATGACATAGCCCCTTGCCCTCTTTCTTTCCCTCCCTGGGAAGTGAGAGTGTTGGCCTGCACAATCTCTAAAGCCCCATCAGGTCCTAACGTACGCTGCACAGTCCTCACTCTTGTCGGAGAGTCAGGCAACCATGATGTTCTCTCTTCTGTTTGTTTATTCTTGGACCTTCCTGAAGCCATTTCACCCCCAGCTTTGTCTTCTTTGCCAGCCCCCCGCGAAGTCAAACTTCGTCTGCCCATGTCAGGGGAAGCAGACCCGAGCTGAGGAGGGCAGCGGGGTGGTGGAGGGAGTCCGCCCTGGACCCAGGGCTTGGCCTCTTGCTCCTGCCTGTTTTCCTCTGCCTGCAGGGCCTGGGTCTGCCTGCTTCTCCTTTTTCAGCTCCTCAGGAGACCAGGGAGAGGGACACAGCCTCGACAAAGACATCAGAGGCGTCAGGAGGGGGCTCGTGGGTGGCGTTGCTCCTGGGGAAGCCCTCCCCTGATGCAGGGCTGGCAGCAGCGGGAGAGCAGGCGGTCAGGCCAGGCTCGGGTTTCCAGTCGCATCTGCTGGGCAGGTGAGGGCCTGGGGCAACAGGGGAGGAGTGGGAGGCCAGCTTGTGCTTAGGGGACAGAAGAGTGGCATTTGTGTCTGTGCTGGAGGTTGCTGAGGGCCGGGGTGGACCCATTAGGGTGGGATTTCTGGGTAAGATCAGGTGTCTGGTTGGGGAAGGTGACTTGATAGGAACCGCAGCACGAGGTAAACTGCCTCTTCAGCCTGACCAGAGTTGCTTCCAAAGAAGGTAGAAATAGGGGAGTGGCCAGGATTCCAGAAATGAGAGCTCTCCACCCAGGTCCGGAGCTGTGTGGAGAAGGGTCTAGCCCTACGCAGTGTTTTCTGTCCCTCGGGTCCATTCACTCCTGATTTTATTTCAGTCTGACCCCAAATTAATGGTAACAGCGCTCTGAGAGGGGCTGATGAGAAGAGGGGTCCCCAGATTCATCCCCAAGCCTGGGATGCCGCTTTCTGCTTTCAGTTCAGCCACTGACTGGGTGCCTTTAGATACTCTCCTCTCTCTGGTACACAGGAGAGCTGTCCCCCAGATCTTATCTCTGTTGCTCTGGGCTCTTTTGAATCCAAAGGCTCTCAGTACAAACCTAGGGGGTTGGAGGAGAAGCAGAACTTTTTCAAGGCATTGGTTTTAGAAGCTGCCCCTGTCAGCAGTACACACACACACACACACACACACACACAGCTTTTCTGAACAGAGTTTATATCATCATAGATCATCATCACAGAACATCCCTTTTGGGCCCCGTAACAAACACGACAGAGTTCAGGGCCATTAGCTTTTGTCCTATCCACAGGGTGCACGGTGTCCGGAATCCATGGTTACCAGGGGAGCTGGGCACAGAGAAGCTGGCTGTGCTCCCACGCGTGAGTGTTGCTGGCCAGCCCTCAGGCAGGGACCGAGGGAGCTAGGGGAGAATTCCCAGGAGGTAGGGACTGGAGGCCAAGGACTCCAGGCCAGACACGGTCTCCGGGACTGCACCCAGAAGTCCAGTTCAGAAACCTCTCTTGGAGGACCAGGTCCCGCAGAAGAAAGGGGAGGTCCTAAGAGAGTCCAGGGTAGGGGACTACCACATCCTGGGGAGGGGAGGCTGCCTCCCCTACTCCTGTTCCTTGAGGCTTACAAACCCTGAGAAATAGGCATGCCATGTGCTAGGCAGGGGGCCAGGGGAGCGTCATTGTGTTCAAGTCACCAGTTCCTAACAGAGCATGCCAGGTGCCCAGCAAGGTGTTAGGAGCAGATGGGCATGGCTTAGCCGTGGCACCGCAGAGACCTTGATTAACGGAGTGTCGAGGTGGTGGGTACAGAGTGGGTGCTGTGGATGGTGGGGGGGTGTGGTCAGGGTGAGCTTCATGAGGAGATGGCCTCGTGCTGGACTTCAAAGAACGGGCAGCATTTGAACAGGTGGAGCCGCATTTCCCTACCAAATGTCCTCATCCAAAACGTAGGCCACTAGTGTCTGAGGGCAGTTGGTGGGAGTCTCTCTGTGCCCAGAGTTGCCGCCTCCCCCAGAGGCTCCCGCCTGCAGGGAATTCTCCTTTTCCAGCTTCTGGAAGAGGACTGGGGCTGCCCCTTGGGCAGTAGTGCAACGCCCGTCAGTTGTCCTTCAGAAGATACCCCTTCTGCCCGAGGAGGGCTTCTACCACATCCCCCTCCAGGAGGCCTCCAGGCTCCAGGTTCCATCCCCTTGGCCCTGAGCTGGGACAGCAGGAGGGAAAGGTGGCCTCAGGACTCAGCTCTGTCTTTCCCCACCCCAGCCAGTCCCTGGGATCCCCGGGCCTCTCGGCTGCCGACAGCACCGGCCCTACCGTGGGGTTCCATGGGTTCTGAACGGAATGGAGGGCCCTGGGCTGAGCCTAGGAGCCTGGGAGAGGTGACCATTTCCAGAAGGAAAGACTTCTTTTTGAGGTCATCCATGAAAAAGGCTGAGTGGTTCTCTTTTCGGGGGGCACAGAGGCTGCAGGACCCAGGATGGGGCAGGAGGAGGAAAGGGGTTCCTACCGTGGGGCCCTCGAGCTATGCATTCCAGACCCGCCACTTCACAGCTCCCACCAGATCTGACTTGACCTCCAGGCCACGACCCGGTCCCTCCCGCACTGTGGAAGCCTCAGAGGGGGCCGCAGCTCCCCTTCCAGGCCTGCTCTCCCTTTCTCCCCATCTCCCTCCTGGCATCCTTAGTGCAGTCTTAGCAGCCGTGCTCTCCCACCTCACCTCCCAGCCCTCTTCTCCCCCTTCGGGCTAGGGGAGCCTGGTTTGGCTGCCCAAGGAAGATTGTATCTGAGCACATCAGGGAGGGCTGAGGGCACCGTTGCGTAAACCAGGGCCTCCTGAGTTTCTTGCTGTGGACTGAGCTCCGGCGGAGAAAGATACCTGAGCCGCTTGAAAGATCAGATGAGGAAGATGGAGCTGGGGATCGCTCTCAGGCGGCACGGGAGTCCGAGGAAAGGAATGGGGTGGGGTCTTGTCTTTTCCCTTAGCTTCTGGTGGAGGTGCCCTCGGGCTGGAGTGGGGCCTCCTGGACCAGCAGGTGGCCTGCCTGGCTTGGCCCTCTCTCTTCCTCCTCCCCTGCCCCTCCTGGCAGCCGCCTCACTCCATCTCTCTTCTCTCTACAGATGGGACCCAGGTGAGCCCGGGTGCCCACTGCCCCAGTCCCCCTGGCACAGGTAAGAGTGGGCCTGAGGGAGAGTGTGGTGGGGAGTGGAAGATGCGCTGGAAAGGACAGAAGCGGGGCGAGGAGCTCAGGGGTGGTTCAGAACGGTGGCTGGCTGATTGGCCAGAGAGTTGGGAGGTTGGGGTTCTGGGGGAGGGGGCGAAGTTGGGGTTTTGTGGGGAAGGGGTAAGAGGGGGGATAAGAGAGGCAACTCTGGATCCACGTTGGCCCCAGAGCTGGGAAGCACAACAGGAAAAAGAAAGGTAGGATGCTCTCCTTGTCCATGCTGGTGCAGTGAAACAGGAAGGCAAGTAGGAAGCTAATACTTATGCTCGGACCCCTGCCTCGGGGGCTCTGGGCAAGGCGTCACGTTCTCATTTGTAGGCTCTGCAGTCCTCACACCAGCCCTGCGGGGTGGGAAGATGCCTCGTGCTGCTCGGGCGGGAGGGAGAGGACCCCTCTCCGTGGGCCTCTCACCATTCCTTGCCCCCGCTGCTGTTAGGCCGTGCTGGGCGAGGAGGGTTTAGGACGTGCCCATGGGGCGGGGGCAGGGGCTGGACCGGACGAGGGCCTGTTGGGTGCAAGGTGCACACCTGACACCCAAACTACGGCAGGGAGAAAGGAAGGCCGCTATCCTCTTTGATTCAGTCCTAGCCATCAAAAGCTTACAGGCAGGTGGGGAGACAAGATACACAAGTAAAAAGGGAAATAATAGTCGAATGCGATACGTGACCAGTTCCAAAGGAGGGGGTAGCTGATTAAGGAGTTTGTCCATCCATTCAAGAAACAGTAAGTTCACCACCTACTGTTACGTAGTTCTCCTAGTTGTGTAATTTTCTAAAAACTTAGAAATTGGAAAAAGAAACATTAATGAACCCCACCTCTGTTCCAGGGCACCGAGGATATAGAGATTTATTCATCGAATCAAACAGTATTTACTGAGTGCCTGTCGCTTGCTAGGTACTATTCTAGGTGATGGGATAGTGAGCAGTAGGCAAAACCAAGTCCCTGCCCTTGGAGCTTAATTCAGATTTGGTACCTGCCTGGGCGGTGCTTTCAGGGCACAGAGCAGCCAGTGTGATGGAAATCCAGAAGAGGGCTTGACCCAGCAGGGCACTGGGCTGGGTCCAGGAAAGAGGGAAGACTCCAGCTGGGCTTGGAAGTCAGGGTAGGATCTGGAAAAGTAGACTCAAGGGAGGAGGACGGCACCAGCAGGGGGACGTTGTGAGCTAAAGCTCAGAGGTACGTGGGCTGTGACTGGACGGGAGCAGACGGCTGAGGCGGAGGGTCCGTGTTCAGATGTGGGAGGCAAAGCTGACAGAAGCCGGCTTAGCATCAGACCGTGGAGACCCCCAAATGCTGAGTCACCCTGAGAGGCGTTGCCAGGGTTGCAGGCAGAGCCCCTCCCATGTTCCCAGCAGCCTTCTGCTCTGGAGGCCGAGGCATTGCTGGGGGAGAGGGAGGGGGCTGCTCCCAGTCTGTATGGCTGAAGTCTGGGTGGCCTGGCCTGGGTGCCCTGAGGGCCCTCTTGCATCACCAGGGGAGTCACCCCGGAAAGCCAGGACACCTGACGTGGAAAGACTGAGACCTTTCCTGGGGCGGGAGTGCAATGGCATCAGAGGCCCAGACGGAACCAGAATGAGAATTTGGGGTCCCTGGGTGGACACATGAACAAGAGGTGGGAACATCAAAGCAGTGCATTGCCTGCTCTTGGCCATATCGGGTGCCCAGACACCTGCTCCGGTCTCTTGACATCCAGAGAGTCGTGAGGGCATCTCCCTCCTCTGCTCCTCTCTTGTGTCCACCTCACGGTCAGAGAATGTGAGAACAGACACCGCTGAGTGACCACCTACTGCAAGCCCCTCTGCCTTTGCCCAGTGAGAGACCCCTCTGGGGGTGGGGCAGGGGAGGTGACTTCCTGGAAGTCAATGGGAAGACGGAGACGGAGCAGTGGCCTCAGCAGGACGGAACCCGAGCTCACTGTGCCCCGAGCTGGGTGGCCTTGGCCAGGTCCCTTCACCTGCGCCTCAGTTTCCTCACGTGGGAATAGTAATAACTACCTCCCAGGGCCTACAGGGGTGATGAGGTAGAAGGGTTTGCAGCGATTGTGCACGTGTGCTATGGATGTTAAGATAACGGTTGAGTCGGGCCCAGATGCCGCATTTCCTGACTCCCCAGCTGGTCTTTGCCACAGTCCTCCTCAGTCCTTCCAGTCCTTCCAGTCCTCCCGGCTCAGGCCCAGAGGACGGCCTGTGGCTGCCCCCATCGGGGAGGCCCAGCGTTGGATGAGCTGAAGGAGGCCTCTCCGGAAAGGCTTCCCCGCTTGCGTGCCCTGTCTGAGGGCACCTGCTCCCAGCCCCCCCTGCTTCCCCTTCTCCAGGATAACTGTCCACCTCTGAGCGCCTCAGAATGTCTCTGGCTGCTGAGCCCGGCCTGGCCCAGCAGGCGGTGCGGGCATAGGACCTGGTCGGACAGCTAGTTATAAATAGCCCCTGCATCCACAGCCTTGGCAGGGTGCTCCTGGCATGGGTGCAGGGGACACTCGAGAAGAGGCAGCTGAGGCTGCTGAGGCCCAGAGCTGGCCTGAGGGTACCTGGGCGCAGGCTCCACGGGCATGTGGGCTGTGCAGGCCCAGGGTGCAGGCCAGGGCTGGCTGTGGCTTTGAGGCACCTCTCCTTTATCCTGTGGCCTAGGATAGAGTAGGGAGGATGGCAACGGAGAGGGCCTGGGACGCCCTTTGGGGTTGGAGGCTGAACAAAGGGGACTGCCTGTCCGATCGCTGTGTCCGAGCGCAGCTCATCAGAGGGCAGCTGGGCCCAATCCTCCTTCCAGGGTGGGAAGAAGGGAAGGAGAGGCCAGGGCCCAGAATGTATCACTAAAGGGCCCTCAGCCCCTCTCTAAATCCCTACAGCCCCCAATCCTGGCCTGGAGAGGCAGCGTATTTCGTGGAAAACTCTATGCTTGGAGTCAGAAAGCTCAACCCACACAGCACCAGCGATAGACTGTGTAGTTTATATGACCTCCTTTCTCATGGGTGAAACAGGCTTGAAAATAACTACCGTGCAGGACTGTGGGGAGGATGCAGTGCGGAAGAGGTCCCTGGAGGGTGTTTTACCATCGTCAGGTGAATCTGAAGGAGGCTGATGAGGTAACCGTGCACCTGCAGAGCTTTCCGGCCGACCCTGCCCTCTCTGTGTGCTCAGGCTGCCCCAGGCCCTGCGCAGACACGCCAGGCCCTCAGCCCCAGCCCATGGACCTGCGGGTGGGCCAGCGGCCCCCGGTGGAGCCCCCGCCGGAGCCCACGCTGCTGGCCCTGCAGCACCCCCAGCGCCTGCACCACCACCTCTTCCTGGCTGGCCTGCAGACCCAGCGCTCGGCGGAGACCATGAGGGTAAAGATAGAGCTCCCCACGCACGCAGCAGCCTCGAGCTCAGACCCGGCACCCCTCCCTCCCTTCAGCCTCCCCAGACCCTCGTCTCCGTCTCCAACTCCTCGCCCCTCCCTGGGCGGCCGGCCCTCCCCACAGCTCTCAATGGACACACCGTTGCCCGAGTTGCAGGTGGGGCAGCAGGAGCAGGAGCTGCGGCAGCTTCTCAATAAGGACAAGAGCAAGCGCAGTAAGCATGGAGGCCTCCCCAGCCGGTGTCCACGGCCTCCTTCGTGGGCACGGGAGGTGGGAGTGCCGGCCTGGGTCCCCCTCTGCTTGCTGGGCGCTGCCGGCGAATGTGGGTGGGGGTGAAGGCGGACCCGTAGGCTTCACGGAAGAGGTGGGGCCTCAGGCTTGGCTCTTGCCTGAGGGGTCCCTGGGATGCCTCGTCCTGGGGGCGTGGTCAGGGCAACGGGCAGAGAATGTTCCAGGGAGGCCACCAGTCCACCCACCCCCAGCCCACTGATGATTTCTGCCCCTGCAGGTGCCGTAGCCAGCAGTGTGGTCAAGCAGAAGCTGGCAGAGGTGATTCTGAAGAAACAGCAGGCAGCCTTAGAGAGGACGGTCCATCCCAATAGCCCCAGCGTTCCCTACAGGTAACTTCCTCTCCCACCTGCCCCCTCGTGTCCCTGCCGCGCCCCTCCTCCCTGGATGTCAACCTGTGAGCACACGTACACTCGCCCCCTCTTCCTCCCAGCTGCCCATCACCTGATCCCCACCCCTCACTTCTAATCATAAGGCCTCCCCCAAACCCCTCTCCCAACTGATACCTGCTCTCTTGTCCTTTAATTATCGCTCCTCCCCCGCCTGTCGCACACACTCTCACACACACACCACGCTAGCTTTCTTTTCTCTTTATATCTTCCTGTAATCACAAAAACATCCTGATTCCTAGAACAGGATCCTGCCATTGTGTCTGGCCCTTATCCAAGCCCCGGACCCTGGCTCCTATGCCTAGGTCCGAGGGCGGCATCACCAGTGGGCTGCAGGTAGGATGGGTGGCCCAATGCTGCCACCTGGAGATGGCCGGTATTCCTGCCGGCGAGGCACTTCCTGACCCTGCGGGCTGCTGCCTTCCTTAGCAGGTCCCAAAGGGTGGAATGAGATGGCTGTCAGGCCTCTGGGTATGCCTGCCCCTCTGAAGCAGCCTTGGCACTCACTCCACAGAACTCTTGAGCCCTTGGAGACGGAAGGAGCTGCCCGTTCCATGCTCAGCAGCTTCCTGCCTCCTGTACCCAGCCTGCCCAGCGACCCCCCAGAACACTTCCCTCTGCGTAAGACAGGTGCGTGGGACAGGCCGGCAGGGACCTCCAGGGGAAAGGAAGGACCTTGGATGAGGGTCAGGGAGGGGGGCCTGGCTGGGCAGGGGACAGTCTGCACCCGGTGGCTTTCTCTCTGGCACTGCCTTCTCTGGCCTCTCTCAGAGAGGACTGGGAGGGAGGGCGTAGGCCAGAGACCGGGGTGGGGGGTGTGGGGGGGTGTGGGCCTAGTAACGCCGGTGTTCCCACAGTCTCTGAGCCCAACCTGAAGCTGCGCTACAAGCCCAAAAAGTCCCTGGAGCGGAGGAAGAACCCGCTGCTGCGGAAGGAGAGCGCCCCGCCCAGCCTCCGGCGGCGGCCGGCAGAGACCCTCGGCGGTGAGGCCCGGCGCGGTGGGCGGGTGGCAGGCCCGGTCCCTTTGGGTCAGGCCCCACCCAGACAAGGGATGCCCGCCTCAGGGCTGCCATGGGTATCTGTCGGGGGGTGTCCTACACACTCGCCAGGGCGCAAGTTGGGGCAGAACCCCCGCCTCCTTGCTCTGTTGGCTAAGCTGCCGCCTGACCAGAAGAAGGGGCACGCTAAACAAATTAGTGTCCAAACGCACTGGAGACTGCTGGCGGCCTCCCTTCTGCCCGCCCTGCTGGGAAGAAAGCAGGAAGCAGAGCCCGCCCACTGGGGAAGGGGTTTGTTCCTGGCCCCGCCTCCTGGCCCCGCCTCCTGGCCCCTGACTGCGCGTCCCCCTCTCCCCAACCCTCAGACTCCTCCCCCAGTAGTAGCAGCACGCCGGCGTCAGGGTGCAGCTCCCCCAATGACAGCGAGCACGGCCCCAACCCGGTCCTGGGCTCCGAGGTAAGGCGTTGCCAGGCTGGGCTCTCGGGGGCAGTTCTGAGGCTCCTCTCAGCAGGCGGCCCGACCAGGCTGGGGCCGCAGGGTCTGGGCAGCCCCCACCGGAGCCTCCTGGGGGTTCTGGGGAAGGCGTGCCCAGGGGTGGAGGTCTGGGACCGGTGACCCCTGCCCTGCTCCCATGGCAGGCGCTCTTGGGCCAGCGGCTGCGGCTGCAGGAGACCTCTCTGGCTCCGTTCGCCTTGCTGCCCACAATCACGCTGGGGCTGCCCGCCCCTGCCAGGGTGAGTGGCTGAGGTGCCCTCCCCCACCCCAAGCGCCCGACATCTCTCTCTCCCTTCTTCTACACCCCACCTGATGGCCTTCACCGTCTCCCTGCTGGGATCTTCTCCCCTGTGATGCTCCCCACCTCTCCTCCAGGCTGATGGTGACCGCAGGACCCATGCGACTCTGGGCCCTCGGGGACCAGTCCTGGCGAGTCCCCATGCTCCCCTCTTCCTGCCCCATGGCCTGGAGCCCGAGGCTGGAGGCCCCCTGCCTTCTCGCCTGCAGCCCATTCTCCTCCTGGATCCTTCGGTCTCTCACGCCCCCCTGCTGACTGGTGAGTCCCAGCTTCTACAGGAGAGGGGCTGGATCCCTGCACCCTGCTGAAGGCCAAGCGTGGGCAGGGTCCCTTCCTCCTGGCTCGCCCCCCCCCCCTTCCCCGCCCCACCCTTGCTTCCTTCTGCTCCTCCCTGTGGTTCCCTCCTTATGCCCCCCACCCCGTTCTTTCCAGTGCCCGGGCTTGGGCCCCTGCCCTTCCACTTTGCCCAGTCCTTACTGACCACCGAGCGGCCCTCCGGGTCAGGCCTCCACCGGCCGCTGAGCCGGACCCGCTCAGAGCCCCTGCCCCCAAGCGCCACTGCCCCCCCACTGCTGGGCCCCCTGCAGCCCCGCCTGGAGCGGCTCAAACCTCATGTGCAGCTGATCAAGGTGAGTGGAACTGGGTAGGGGAGGTGGTGAGGGGTTGCTAAACTGGGCCCCTGGGGGCTGAAAGAAGGGAGACTTAGGAGGGGCAGAGATCTGGAGGGTCAGAGGGAGGACGTGTGGCTCCTGGGGGCCCAGCATGTCTCTCAGCTAGCATCTCCCTTCCCCAGAGGCCAGCCAAGCCGAGTGAGAAGCCCCGACTGCAGCAGATACCCTCGGCTGAGGACCTCGAGACAGATGGCGGGGGAGTGGGGCCACTGGGGGATGACGGCTTGGAACACAGGGAGTCCAGCCATGGGCAGCATGAGGCCCGAGGCCCTGTTCCTCTCCAGCAGCACCAGCAGGTATGGTAGTGCCCAGGTGCCCCTCGGTGGAAGGCATAGTCAGGAGACTCTGGGGCCTGGTAAAGATGGAAGGGAGGGAGATGGGATATCAGCGCAGGGGACAGCTCTGGGACACACAGTTCCTCTGCCAAATCCACAGCAAGTTACAGACAGACAGACAGACACATGCACACATACACGTGCCGCACCCTCCGGCAGCCTTCCCATCTCAGGGTGAAGCTGTGTCCCTCGTCCAGCAGCGAGACTGGCCTTTCACAGAGCCCCACACATTCCTGCCCTAGGACTTCTCCCCTGTGAGCGCTTGTACTGTTTCCAGGAAGGTGCTAGGGCAGGAGGTGTGGCAGAGATGGGCTCAGCCCTTCAACTGTGCAAGTCAAGCCGTGGGGTATTGGTTTGCTGGAGCTGTTGTAACAAGTGCTGCAAACTGGGTGGCTTAAACGACAGGGCTTATTTTCCCACAGTTCTGGAGGCTAGAGGTCTGAAATCAAGGTGTTGGCAGGGTTGTTCCCTCTGAGGGCTGTGAGGGAAGGAGCCGTCCCAGGCCTCTCTCCTTGGCTTGTAGACGGCCACCTTCTCCCTGGGTCTGCACATCCTCTTTCTTCTTGTCCACGTCTGTGTCCCAATTTCCCCTTTTCATAAGGACCAGAGTCGTGTTGGAGCTGACCCTAATGATTTCATTTTTAACTTGAGTACCTCTGTAAAGACCCTGTCTCCAAATCAGGTCGCATTCTGAGGGACCGGGGGTTAGGATTTCCATCCTAAATATGAGGTGGGAGGGGACACAACTCAGCCCGTAACACGTGGCAGCAGGCCACACATGTGTAGGCTCACTCAGGTCCCTGTGTCCTTGGGTGGTTGGCAGTCCTTGGAGACAAGGAGATCCTGGTCAGAGCCAGCCTGAGGCCCCTCACCCAGGTTCTCACTTCTCACCTTGGAGCCTCGAGGGCCCAGGGAGCTCTGGTGGAATAGGGTGGTCAGTCTGGGGTGCAGACCTTTCGGGGGGTTGGTGGGGGCAGGGAGCTCAGCGACTCAAAGGCCAGAGCCCAGCTGGGAGGCAGGGCCAGAGGCTTCTGCAGAAAAGGGGCCTGCCTGGAGGTTTCCAAGGCTGTGGGCAGAGGTGGATGGAGCAGGGTACTGAGAACCTGGAGACTGAGACCCCTGTGTCCCTCAGGTGTACCTCTGGGAGCAGCAGCGACTGGCTGGGCGGCTCCCCCGGGGAGCCACTGGGGACTCCGTGCTGCCTCCCCTGGCCCAGGGCGGTCACCGGCCTCTGTCCAGGGCTCAGTCTTCCCCAGCCGCGCCTGCCTCCCTGCCAACCCCAGAGCCCACCAGCCAGGCCCGTGTCCTGCCCAGCTCAGAGACCCCTGCCCGGACCCTGCCCTTCACCACAGGTAAGGCCCGGATTGGAGGGCAGGAGGAAGTGGCTGCGTGCACACGGAGCCTCGGGGCAGAGGACCATGTCTGTGTCATGGTTCACTCAGGACATTTTTCGAGGCCACAGAACACTTTCTTAGTCTTATGAGATCCCCCCAGTGTCCCGTGGAGCAACTGGCTGTTCTCATTTTACAACTGAGGAGACCCAGGCTCAGGAAATCGAAGGGGACAGCAAGCTGGCAGTCAGGTCAAGCTAAGAACTCAGGTCTCCGGACGACTAGCCCGGGCCCTCAAAAGTGATATTTATTATTGTTGCTCTGCTTGTGAAAATAACTCAAGAGCATTTTAGAAATTTTGAAGAACACAGAAAAGCCTAAGAATGGAACAAAAATCACCAGCCAGTATCCCCGCCACCCAGAGGCAACCCCTTGTAAATGCTGCCATATTTCAAGCCAGTCTTTGTTTTAGCCACATCTATAAATCCCACATACAGTACATTTTGTGGCTACATTTTGTACCCTGCTTCATTCAGTTTGCACGTTATGAACACCTTGTGATATAATTAAACTTTAAAAATGAGATCTTGTAGTATGTCATCACAGTATTTTTGTTTAAAGGTTTCCTATGGGTTGAGCAGTTAGGTGGTTACTCATTTTTGCTCATTTGAATTTCCTTGTAAATTTCTATAAATCTCCCCTCATCCCTGGGATTGTTTCCCGAGGGTCACTGTCAAGGAGTGGCATCCCCGGGTCAAATGCTGTGAGCATTCTGAAGACCCTAATGTCCTGAGATGTTCTGAAAGTGACCCTCCCACTGGCAGCGTGCAGGGCCTTCCTCTGGGCGTCCTGCTGGTCAGGCTGAAACAGTCACTTCCCCAAAACTGCATCTGTCCTGTCACGTGGCCCACTGTGGACTTCCCAGCTCCCAGTTTGGGGGCGCCTATTTGGGTCCTGACATCCAGTGCGAGCCCCTGGCATCAGGCCTCCCTGTGTTAGGCTCTGAGCTCTTGAGGTCATGGTCATTGTCCCTGGGCCACGTGAGGGGGGTCAGTGAGTCGGGAAGGCAGCGGCTGGGTGGCGGTTGTGCTGGCCGGGGCTGCGTGGTGTGTGGGTGAGGTACCCAAGGCCGCCTGGGTAAGCAGCTGGGGGTGTGCGTACGGGCTCCGAGGGGCAGGATGGGGCATGTGGGGCTGTGCGGGGGTGTGGAGGGCGTGCCCGGCCTGGCTCCATGGTGGGGCTGGGGGTGGGGACTCCCCGGGGCCCTGGCCCTGACCCCTGCTCCCCGCAGGGCTGGTCTATGACTCAGTAATGCTGAAGCACCAGTGCTCCTGCGGAGACAACAGCCGGCACCCGGAGCACGCAGGCCGCATCCAGAGCATCTGGTCCCGGCTGCTGGAGCGGGGGCTCCGGAGCCAGTGTGAGGTAAGGAGGCAGCGTAGGGGCTGTGGGGTCGGAGGAGCTGAGGGTCACAGAAGGGAAGGGGCTGGGAGGCCCTGGAGCCAGAGTGAGATGAGGGGCGGCGGGGTGGTGGGAGTGGCAGGGAAGGGGCCGAGCAGGGGCTCAGGAGCCCTGTGGGTCCTTCCTCAGTCTCTACGGGGCCGGAAGGCCTCCCTGGAGGAGCTGCAGTCAGTGCACTCGGAGCGGCACGTGCTCCTCTATGGCACCAACCCGCTCAGCCGCCTCAAACTGGACAATGGGAAGCTGGCAGGTAGGGAACCGATGGCGCGTGGGGCCCCCAGACCTACCCTGGCTCACCCAGCCTGAGCATCCCCTGTGCTCTAGTCCTAGCTCCGCCCAGCCTGTCCCTCCAGCGTCCGGGACACCCCCATGCCGCCCTTAGTCCCTCGGCTGCCCACCTCCACCCCTCCCTGCCCACCCTGCCTGGCCCTCTTCTCAGAGCTTCCCCGCTCCCAGCCGGAGGCAGAGCAGATTCGGCTCACACACCTGGACCTCTCCCCACAGGGCTTCTGGCACAGCGGATGTTCGTGATGCTGCCCTGCGGTGGCGTTGGGGTAAGTGTGCCGAGGTCTCGAGCGCGCGTGGCCATGGGCTCTCAGACCTCCTCCCTTGCGTTCTCCCAGGCCCAGCCCCTGCCTGCTTGTTCTTGTGGTTCTGCCGGGCCCCGTGGGCCAGGGGCTCTCCCGTAGCGCCCCTGTGCCGGCTGGAAGCTCCCTGTGGCGGGCATGTCCTCCTGAGGGTGGAGTCCCATCCCTCACACTTGCAAGGCATTTGGTGGATGTTGAGGAGGCCCAAAGAGCAGGGCCGGGCCCGGGCCCGGGCCCGGGGCTCGTCTCCCGTCGTGAGCACGCTGGCCTCCAGGCTGCTTTGCGTCCCTGGAGTGGGCTGCCTGGCCTGGGGCTGCAGGGATGCCTCTGGTGTCCTTGGCGACCCAGGCCTGTCCCTCCCACGCCCTAGCTTTCCCTGCTCCCTCTCACCCCGCCGGGGGACTTCTGCGTGCTGGCAGTGCTCTCCTCCCCTCAAAAGGTCCCTGTGCAAACCAAACCGGGCGTGTGGAGGCCGGGGACGGAGGCCCGGTCCTGGAGGGAAATGGGAGCTGTCGCTGGGGGGCTGCGTGGGAGCCGGTCAGCGCCCTGTTCACAACTTCCCATTTCTTGCCACTTTCTGATTTTTCCAACTGTTGTTGCTTCTGTTTTCTCCTCCCTCCGCTCCCTCTCTGTCTCTGTCTCTCTCTCTTTCTCCAGCCTCTTGCGACTCTCTCTGCCTTCCTCGCCTCTCTCGGTCCGCCTCGCCCTCCCCATCTCCCCATCACGCCCCCCGGCCCCTCCCTAGCCTTGAGGCCCAGGGACTGGGTTTGGGGGGCCTCCCAGCCTGGGCTAGGGGCCCCGAGTGGAAGACAGTGGTGCAGACGGCCCCTCGAGCTCCGACGGTCCCGAGGGCCTGAGCAGAGTCAGCTGGGGCTTAAAACCCCCTCCAGGCCCAAACCCCAAGTCCCGCCCAGGTAACGCCATGCCCCCTCCTCTGACCGGGGGGCAGGCGCGATGCTGCCGGCAGAGTGCTGGCCAGTTGCGGGCTGGTGATATGGACTGAAGCTGGGAAGGAGAAGTCGTGCCGGGACTGGGGGACACGGGAGGCCTTGCTTTTCTGGGCGGCGGGGCAGTGGGGCGGCAGCGCCGTCTGCCCAGCTCCCTGCCCCTGGGGTCCTGGCCGTGGGGTGGGCACCGCCCCCCGGGCCCTGGCTGCCGTGGGAGGCCTTGGATGATGCGGGCCCTGACTCTGGCCCCCGCAGGTGGATACCGACACCATCTGGAACGAGCTGCACTCCTCCAATGCGGCCCGCTGGGCTGCCGGCAGCGTCACTGACCTCGCCTTCAAAGTGGCTTCCCGAGAGCTAAAGGTAGGAGGTTCGAGTGGAGGGTGGGCAAGCCACGGAGGAAGGAGGCAGAGGATGGGGTAGCGGGGAAGGCCAGACCCGACACCCAGCATCACATTCCTCTTGGATATCACCACAGGGTTTCGAAAGGGAAATTGAGAGCTCTGGGGACCAAGATGAGATCTGAACCCTAGGCTCCTGTTACCTGGTGGGGAAGCAAGCCACTGTGCCCCTGGCCCTGTGGTCTCTAAGAGAGACAGGGTCACGATCATCCAGGATCGGTTAACACAGACCCGCTGTGGACCGTGGGCAAGTTGCAGGGCTTCTCGGGAGCCCCGTGCATTGGCAGAGCGCCTGTTGGTGATGCTGAGGCTTTACAGACCGGGTTGGCGCTCATTTGCTCATTTGCTCCGGGCTGGGCACCTTACGGGGGCTTGTGCCGAGCACCCCCCCGCCCCGCCTGCTGTTTAGGAGCTCACAGCCCAAGTCCTGGCTCCACCATCTGCAACCAGGCAACTTTGCACATGTTGTCAAACCCGCGGAAGCTCCAGGTTTCTGCTGTCTGTAAACCAGATATAATTACAATGTTTATCTTATGAAGATTACATAACGTTTATCTCAGAGAGCTGTGAGGATGAAATCCAGCATTTACCCAGTGCTCAGCACAGTGCCAGGCACATAGATTTGGCCCAACAAATAACAGCTGTTGTGATTCCAAAGTGGTAACAGCCAGGAGCCACCGGGGTGGGAGGTTCTGTGTTCACGGCCCGGGGGTCAGCACAGGGCCCTTGATACCCAGCCTGGTCATGGTCAGTCACACTGGCAGCTCTTGCCCTGTGGTCCCTTCTCGGGGGAGGAGCCTGGGGATGGGGTGGGCGGGGGCAGGTTCATGGAGGTGCGGGTCAGAGGTCTGGCTGTTCGGTTGACGAGCATACTTTCTGTTTCCAGAACGGTTTTGCTGTGGTTCGGCCCCCAGGACACCACGCAGACCATTCCACAGCCATGTAAGGCCTGGGGGAGGCCTGGGTGGGCTGAGGTAGGGGGCAGGCCCTCAAGGCCCTCCTGTTGGGATGTTCCCCCTCCTTCCTCTGAGCCTTCTGGGGCTGGGCCGGGCCAGAGGCAGGTGGAGGGGGTGCGGCACGGGGAGGGAATGGGCTGACATGACCTCTCTTTTCCTTCCAGGGGCTTCTGCTTCTTCAACTCAGTGGCCATCGCCTGCCGGCAGCTGCAACAACAGGGCAAGGCCAGCAAGATCCTCATCGTGGACTGGGTGGGTCCCGGGTCCTGGCCCCGTCAGGTCCGAGAGGCCTGTGGAAAGAGCCCTGAGCCTGGCGTTAGGAGACATGGCTTCACGTCCTGCCTAGTTCCACATTAGCCTCCCCGAGCCTCGGTTCCCCCACTGTGTAAAACGGGGGAGATGCGGTGAGGATAATGCCCCCATCACGGGGCTGTTGGGAGGCCCCGAGGAGATGGTATATGGAAAGGCCTCAGCTCCCACAGGGGAGGGGCCATTTGAATGCCGTATTCTGGCCTCTGTCGGCTTCTTTCTGCAGATCTGATCACTTCTGCCTTTCTCCTGCAGGCAATGACCAGTAATAACACATAACATCAACACACCACTCATCGCATCCACACATTCATGGTTTCACGCCGCTTATGTTTAACCCTGACTCTGACCTGGTTTACAGATGAGGAACGTGAGCACAGAGAGGTTAGGTAACTTGCACACAGCTCTACACCTCGTCAGTCCTGAGACTGTGATTTGAACCGAGGCCTGTTAGCTCTGGAGCACGGCCTCGTGCTCTGCTTTGCCTTGACATCTAACTACTCTGCATTGACATCTGCTTATGGGACATTCCTACACAGAATGGAGGAGGGTGGAGGAACTTTCCACACTTGCACCCACGCGTGGTCCTGTGAGTTACCATGGCTCTCCCTGGAGGGGCGGCGCTGGGCCTTATGGTCCGGCCCCTCTGCTGCGGAGCATGGTTTCCATCACTTGCATCACTCCGTGACCTTGGGCAAGACACAATAGCGAGAGTTCCTGACATGTGTGACCCTGGACTCTTCCCTCTCCTGGCACTAATCCTTCCCTGGCACGTACTCTTTCCTCTCCTTCAGGGTTTCGTGTTATTGCTACCCCCACCTAGCGTGCTATGTACACATCTATACATACAGGGGGAGACTGAGGCTCAGAGAGTGCCCGTGGGTCACGCAACAGTTTAGCTCTAGGAGCCCCCATGTTCTCACCCCCAGTCTAGACTCCTGACCCTCAGAATGGTCACCGACCTTGAAACCTTTCCAACCTGCCCCAGTCTCCATGTCTCTGCTTTCAGACCTGCCGTAATCCACTGCCCATCTCCCTGCACAGGACGTTCACCATGGCAACGGCACACAGCAGACCTTCTACCAGGACCCCAGCGTGCTCTACATCTCCCTTCATCGCCACGACGATGGCAACTTCTTCCCGGGCAGTGGGGCTGTGGATGAGGTAACCACACCTTCCAGCCCCACTGACTCTCCCTTGTGGCCCTTACTCTGCCCCTGTCGCGACTAGCTGTGTGATCTGGGCAGACTGTTTAGCCGCTCTGAGCCTCAGTTTCTCCATCTGGAAGTGAAGAGGCTGGATGAGCTGGTCTTGCAGCACTGACATCCTGGGATCCCTCTCTTGGGACTCTGCTCTCCTCACGTCTCTCTTGCCTCCTGTTTTCCAGGTGGGAGCTGGCAGCGGTGAGGGCTTCAATGTCAATGTGGCCTGGGCTGGAGGTCTGGACCCCCCAGTGGGGGATCCTGAGTACCTGGCCGCCTTCAGGTAAGTGCTCTGGGGACCCAGAGGAGGCCTGGCCCAGCAAGGCCACCCTCTCCTCCCCTTTTCCAACAGCACCAGGTTGGAGGCGATCAGGTGGCCAGCCTGTCCTCATCCAATTACTAGACATTACAAGCCAGCCCCAGAGTGGGCCTATGGACTGAGACAAACAAAGGGAAAGGCACTGTTACACTGGCCTCTAGGGGCCTCCAGTCCCTGTGGGAAGACAGGAAACACAGAATGAAAGGTCAAAGGGTGCTTTATATTATAAAGTTTATAATGTCACACGTTACCAAGAGCCAGTGTTGACCTGAGTGCGGGGAGATGGGTAGGGTGGAGTGAGCAGCTCTGCACAGGAACTGAGAAACTTAACTTGTGGAGAAAGAGGGAGAGCAAGCAGGTGATGTCCGTATTGGGGGAGTTGCTTAAGAAAGGCCATTCTAGAAGAGGGACTTTGCTCAGGATCCCTTATATCTTTCACTCTGAGGATTCCTATACTCCATTTGGAAAAAGAGAACCCTGGAAGTAGGTCTCCATATACTTTTCTAGAGTGTTCTCGATGAGAGCTAATTCTGTAGGAGCCCTGGGCTGGGGAGTTCCTGGCATCTGTGTGCCCAGAGCCCGGGGCCTTGAAGGACACCAAAATAGACCCCCGAGTTGGGTGAGGGATGGAGGGAGGCAGCTGTGAGGGGCCAGCGGGGGCAGAGGACGAGAATGGATCTGGTGGCCCAGGACCTCAGAGGGAGTCCGTCGCCCTGGTCAGCTCTCAGGTCGAGTGGTGAGGTGTGGCCAACTCAGTCCTAAGTGGGTGGCAGCTTAGAGCTGAGTGTTTCCAGTGTTTCCCTGAGGCTTAGTGACCTGCCCCTTCCCGAGGCCCTGCCCACCGCACCCCCCGAAACACACACACGAACACACCCACACGCCCACTCCTCTTTCATTCCCTCGGGTGCCTTCCTGCCTCTCGCCAGTGAAGTGCCCTGGGTGGCTGAGTCCTTAGGCTGTACCAGGGACATGGGTGGCCAGCCAAGGTCAAGGAAGTCAGAGGCATCTGCTCATCCTGCTGGGAGAGTGGGTGTCTAGGAGTCCTAAGAGCAGGGTGCCCCCAGTAGAGTTGGTGGGAGAGGGCTGGCGGGGCCCTTGGCCTCTCTGCCCCTGGCAGCCCTGCACAGCGTGGTGAGCGCCCCCTTCTGCCCACACAGGATAGTCGTGATGCCCATCGCCCGGGAGTTCTCTCCGGACCTGGTCCTGGTGTCAGCTGGGTTTGATGCTGCCGAGGGTCACCCACCCCCACTGGGTGGCTACCATGTTTCCGCCAAATGTAAGGAGGGCCCAACCCAGGGGGCAGGTATAGGGAGTGAAGGCTAGGCCGGGAGGGGCGGCACAGCCCAAGGCTAGGGGGAGGTGGCAGTGGCTGGCCCAGGGCCCCAGCACAGACCAGGTCAGTTCGCCGTGGGAGGCCTAAGTCACACCCAGGGGGCTTAAGTCCCACAGACCTGGAAGCTCAGTCACAGGACTCCTCCCACCCCAGCTGTGTCCTTCCCAGGCTGGGCTGGCAGCTTCTCCTGGGGGGCAGTGGGGAGGAGCCCACTCAAGCCCACTGGGCCATGGGGCCTGGAGGACAGAGAGGAATATGGTGTGTCTTAGGGAAAGCGACATGGGCTGGAGTCCATGCCCTGGGTTCCGGTCCTAGCCCTGCCATAGCTGCCCTTAACCTCTCTGAGCCTTCAGTGAGGCACTGACAGGATTTACGGGGGATTCCGTGTGAAGGCACTTGGGAAAGTAGAGGTTTATGCCTGAGTCACTCTTTCTAAGGGAGGAGTCAAGCAGGGAAATCCCAGAGGTAGGGAGGCCCCTCCCGTCCACGCGCCCTCACGCCCCTCGCGCGACCGTCCAGGTTTTGGGTACATGACGCAGCAGTTGATGGGCCTGGCGGGAGGCGCGGTGGTGCTGGCCTTGGAGGGTGGCCACGATCTCACAGCCATCTGTGACGCCTCTGAGGCCTGTGTGGCCGCTCTTCTGGGCAACAAGGTGAGGTGCCTGCCCCTGATCCGTGCGTCGGTGGGGCAGGGCGTCCGGCTCTCCCAGGAGTGCCCCAGGGAGCAGGTAGACAGGGCGCCTCCCTGAGGGCATGCAGATGGGCGGGGTGGGGGTGGCCAGGCCTGGGATGAGGGGAGCGGCGTGGATGCCTCTTCCCCAGGTCAGGCGTGGGGCCGGCGTCCCCTGCCCTAGGTAGAGCCGGGAGCACGTGCCTATTTGCGCTTGGAAAGCGGGGGCCCGGGGGTGGGAGAGAGCTGCGCCTGGGGGTCCCTGAGAGATGGGTGACTGATGTACTCTTTTCTTCTGTAGGTGGATCCCCTCTCAGAAGAAGGCTGGAAACAGAAACCCAACCTCAATGCCATCCGCTCTCTGGAAGCTGTGATCCGGGTGCACAGTGAGTGTGGACAGAGGACACCGCTGACCCCAGACTTGGGAGAAACTTGGGGCTCTGCTGCCCCCAGTGACCAGGGCCCCAGGTCTTCCAGCACCAGCCAGGCCAGGGGTGCTGCTGCTCTGGAGTAGGCTTCCTATCAAGTACCCCATGATAATGGGAAGCAGCCCCCCCCCCCACCCCACCATGAGTGGATACCCTTGGAGCCCTCCAGATGGACCCAGTGGGGACCAGGCAGGACTGGCCTCCCATCCCCAGCTGCTGCCCTAGGCCAGGGCCCTGCCCACAGCAACACTCAGGCCTTGTTTGTGGAAGTGCTGGTTCCCACCCTAACCCTCAAACCTGGCCGCAGGGTCTTAGGAGCTGCAGGGTGCTTTGGGGGCTGAGTCTTAGGTTAACCCCACATTTGGAAAGCACTTTAAATTTTCAGCTTCAGCTCAGCCTGTGGAGCTCTTTATGTAAAGACCCGTGATCTATGCCAGGGATACAAAAATGAACAAAATAGGTTTCCCACATCCGGGCTCAGTAGGGCTGTTGTACATGACAGTGAAGCTGCTGTGGGTACTCGGTATGGAGCCCTTCCACTGGGCCGGGCTCTGGGCTCCGTGGACATTATTTCTCGCCACGGCAGGCAGGACGGTCGTGTCCATGGTCTAGATGGGGCGGTGGGCGTCCAGGGTGGTAAGTGGCTTGCCAACAGCCAGACAGAGTGGCCGCGGTGTTGGCCACCTCTCCCGACACTGTGTCCTCTGGCCTCCCATGCCTGTGCTGCGCTGAGCGCTGCCAGGGGCTACGTGTGAGGGGGACCCTGGGCTCCAGCAGGCCAGGGCTCAGGGCTCCGTGAGGTCACCATGACACAGACCCCATCTAGGGGAAGGGAGGCCCTAATGGGGCACTCAGGAACCCCACACCCATGGGAATGGGTTAGCGGTGGCCTTTCAGCCAAAGCCGTGTGGCACTGGCTTGGACCTCTGCGAGGGCCCCTCACTGCCACGCTGAATCCGCACTGCTCACCCTGTCAGGGCTTGGGGGGCCGAGTCAGGGAGCGTGTTGCACTGAGGGTGGAGGCAGGTGAGAGCTGACCCCACACCGAGGACGCGTCCGCTACTCCTGGGCCTGAGATGTGCAGCCTCAGGATCAGTCTAGGATGCGTGGTGGGCAGGTGGAGGGCCTTGTGCCCCCAGCCCTTTCTGACTCGGCTTCTTACCCAGGTGAATACTGGGGCTGCATGCAGCGCCTGGCCTCCTGTCCAGACTCCTGGGTGCCCAGGGTGCCAGGGGCCGATGCAGAAGAAGTGGAGGCAGTAACTGCACTGGCATCCCTCTCCGTGGGCATCCTGACTGAAGAGCGGTAATGCCAGACCCCTGGCTCACAGCCCCTCCACCCCCTCGGACCCTCCCAACCTGCAGAGCCCAGGCTTCAGCCCAGCCACGACGGCCTTCTCGGGCTTCCTGGGAAGCTGGGCTCAGGCCTTTCCCCTGGCTCTTCAGCAGCAACCCCCCCTTTCCCTCCCCCAGGACCTCAGAGCAGCTGGTGGAGGAGGAAGAACCCATGAATCTTTAGGCTACAGGACGGATCTGCCCCTGCCGCGCCCCGCCCCGCCCCGCCCCGCCCTGCCCTTCGGACCTGGTTCTCTTCCAACCTCTGGCAACAGTACCCGTTCCCGGGGTCTTCAGAGATCCTTCGGGCAGGTAGTCGGGGCCAGAGAACAGCCTCTTGACAGTCACCCCAAGGAGCCTGGGAAGGCCCCTGGGTCTAGCATAGGGACCAAAGAAGACCCTGACAGGAGGCCGGCTGCGTAGCCAGCCGGGACCCAGTAGGGCTCTCCCCGAAGCACAGTCTACCCCTCTGGGGTCTGGGCCCCTAGCTGGGCCCCCGATCCTCAGGCCTGCACAGAGGAGGACTGGCACAGCCGGGCCCGCTCACAACCACTATTCCTGGTTCTGTAGACCCCCGACTTTGCACACAGCCCCAGGCTCCACACAGAAATGTGAACTCGGCCTCTGCCAGAGTGGCCCTTCCTAGGCTCTGGGGGAGGGAGGATGGGTAGCAGGGGCAAAGGGGTCCCATGTCCCTGCGTGCAGGGGGAGTCCCTCCTCTCCTGCTTCCTCAGATGACTCTGGAAGCTTCCTCCCCACCACTGGGCAGTGAGACAGACCTCCCTCTGAGAGCAGTCATCGGCAGGCCTCCCATCTGGTCCCTGCCCCTGCCAGAGGCCACCTGCGTCAGCCATCTCAGGGCTCTGGTGCAGCAGACAGGTGCTCCTGGAGTTCTTTGCTTCCTGATCCAATGGTGCCAAACCCTTCATCTCCCCTCAGAAGCACAGCATGACCCCCAGGGACCCCTCAGTAGTCACCACCCCCCTCCGTGAGCCTTCTCTTTCTGGGGTCTCCCCCACCCCAGCTGACTCCTGCCCTACATAGGACTAGCTTGGCTGAGGGGAAAGGGGGTGGGAGAGTGAATGGACGACATGGGGGAGGGGAGGCTGCCCTGGCAAAGACTTCGAGGCTTCTGGGGTCCAGGCCTGGGGCCAAGAAGGAAAGTGTGTGTGTGTGTGTGTGTGTGTGTGTGTGTGTGTGTGTGTGTGAGACAGCGAGTAAGAGGAGGGTTTGTATGTGTGTGCACGAGTGTGTCTTCCTGAGGACCACCATGCCCTGTGTATGTATGCATGTTTTTGTAAAAAAGAAAAAAAAAATGGAAAAAAAATCTGAACAATAAATGTTTTATTTGCTTTAAAGGTTCATGTGAAAGGGCCTCCGGGGGTTGAGGGGTGGGCAGCGGGCCTACAGCTACACAGCACAGCCTGTGCCTGATTCATTGTGGAAGAGAAGGGACAGGTTGGGCCGTGGGGCAGCCCCCCTCCAGCTCCTTGGCCTTCTGTGGCCGCTGCCTTGCAGGAAGAATCCATTCTGAACACACCCTGGCTGCCCCCGCCTGCCCCCGCCTGCCCCACCTCTGGGTAGTGAAGAGGCGGCAGCTCTGGGCTGAGTCCATAGACAGAGGGCCCGTAAGGGCGTGGGGAACATGGATGCCTGCAGACCCGGCTCGCTAAGGCTCCCCTAAAGAGTCCTGAATCAGACGTACCTGGGTTCAAGTCCCAGCTGGGAGCTCAGGTAAGTCACGTCACCTCCTGGGGCCTCTGTTTATCAGTTAAAGGCTCCCGAAATAGACACTGTTTGGTTCCTTCCTGCTCTAATGTACCATGACTTCTTAAGCATGTGCTGAGCCTAGAAGAGAAGAACGGGTGAGACAGCAGGCCTGGGCGAGCTCATCCAGTGGCGCCTGTCTTTATGGTTCCGAGGCGGCCAGGCTTCTTCAGCCAGCAGAAGGAGCAGCCTCATCACCTCCGACCTGGGCCCAAGCCCTCACAGCCTGGAGAATACGAGGGGAAGCACGTTCATCCCCTTCCCATCTGTCCTGGCCTCTTGGGGCGATAGGCACTCAATCCCACAGACGTTGCTGAGACTGTGCCCGGGGGCATCCTCGCCCTGGCTGGGTGGTTTGCTGAGGGGGCTGGAGGAAGAGAGCTGAACTGTGGGTTCCCCCATGCCAAGTGGGACCAGAGGGAGAGGGTCCCCTCTGAGCTAAGGAAATGGCTTGATGAGATGACTGGAGACCCCCATTGCCACCCACCGCTCCCATAGTCCACCCCATAAGAAAGCACCAGAGGCTAGCTGATACAAATGGCTGCTGTATTTCTGCTAAAGTGACAGTGACACAGATAAGGCAAAGAGCTGAGGGGCAGGACACATCAGGTGGGAAGGGGGTAGACCGTGCAAAATGACAACCTAAGACAAAAAGATGGATGGAGCCCCTTCCCTTCCGAGTTAGGTGAGCCCTTGGGCCAGTGTATAGGCAGTAAAGCAGATTTTGTCCTTCAGAAGGGAGATTTTAAAAGAGAAAAGCTCTAGGTGAAGGGCAGGGGCAGGAGTGGGGGAGGCATCTCGGGGCCAGGGGTAGTCTGGGTGCCATGAGGGGCAGGCATGAGAAGGCCAAGTGGAAATGTGGGGCTGGGGCTGCCTGGTACAGGTTTGAGGGTTCTTTCTAGCCCACCCCGTGCTGCCCCCTTCCCCAAAGCCCTTCGGGGGGCAGAAGCACCTTCCCCAAGACCCTTAGTCTGGTCTCATTTGGGGCGTCCTGCTTTGGGGTGTGTGGTGAAGGGGAGGATGGCTCTAGCATACTCATGCGAACCACCTCTGCGAGGAACAGGGTGGGTGGAAAGAGGGACACTGAACTCCCCTCGGGTCCCCAGGCCTTGGGAAAAGAGAAGCAAGTGTCACCATCCCTGGGGCCAATGAGTTCAGCTACCTGACTCTTGGGGGACAACAAGATGGGGGTGCTGGGGTAAGGGGCTGAGAAGTCTCTACTAGAGATCCCTTACCTGACCTGACCTCCCCAGGGTCCCGTCCCACCTGAGGGAGAGTGTCTAGGGCAGCAGGGACCCCTGCCCCCAGGCACAGGTCAAGGCCCCACTGCCCTACCCCTTGCCTGTTGCCCTGGCCCTACTTAGAAAGACTGCCCACTGAGTGCTAAGAAAATAGATCCACTTGAAAAGGTCTAAAGCTGCCCTCCAGTCAGGCTGATGAGCAACGTGGCAGGACCCCTTTCCACAGCACCCAGGGTTCCCCCCAAGGGGACAGGACAGCTCCCAGGGAGACCACTGTCCTCCTGCTGTATACTTTCTGCCCCGGTTCTGGGGTTCCCAGGGGGTGTACAAGCCCGCCTGCTGTCTCAGAGGCTGAGTCCAGGTCCTGAGGACCACCAGGGTGCGGAGATCTCATCGCTCAGGTCAGAAATCGCTAAGGATGCTGATGTCGGCAAAGTCAGCCCGGTAGCGGTGGGCGTAGAGGCTGAGCAGGAAGGCCCATTTGAAGGAAATGAAGCTCCACACACAGGAGAGGTAGTAGCTGTTGGGGTCTGTGAGGCCTGCAGGGGAGAGGAACCCAACCGTGACTTGAGAGGACCTTGCCCTTGACCCTAGCCACCATGCCACAGGCCCCGGGCCATCCTTCCCCACAACCTCCAACAGAGGCTGAACTGAGCCAATGGAGAGATCAGGTGTGATAGAGGTTTCAGAGCGTTCAGAGTTTGCAGGCAGGAAGCAGTGGGGATGAGGGATGGTCAGGGTTGGCTAATCACTGGGCTGTATCATCCGCTCTGCTTCTGTGACACTGACCCTAGGCCACTGCCTTCCAATGTGCTTCAGCATCAGAGCGGGCAGGAACAGCCTTTGGCTACTTGCAGACTGCAGCCACCAGGGGGCGCTCCCAAACCCTCCGCTGGAGGCTAAAAAGGGCGGCTAACCACACACTCCTGGGTGCTGAATGCTGCACACACTTCCCACGCGTTTCATTGACCCATTCCAACCCAGGGGCGGGGATGGGGGGCGTCCATTCTCCCCACTTTTACAACGAGAAAACTCCGGCACAGGGAGGTTAAGTGGTCTGTCCAGTCCCTTGGACCTAAGTGTTGAACCCAGGACAGGAATCCCGGGCCTCCTGAGTGCTCCACCCACCGGCCCTCCCACGCCCTCCCTTTGTGGAGGCCCTTACTCTGGTGTCCGGTGACGGCCAGCACAAGAAAGGTGCAGAAAGTGGCGACGGAGACGGCCGAGAAGAGGACGCCCACGAAGAAGAAGCCACGCAGCCCCTTGAGCCACGTCCTCCAGAAATCCTGCATGTACATCACGTGCGTCACCAGGACCCACAGCGCTAGCACACCTGCCGGGAGAGATGGCTCAGGCAGCGCCCCTCTCCTCACCTGCTGACCCCCCAGAGCCCTGCAGGTCCCCCAGGCCAGGCTCTTCGCATAATAACAGTAGTGTTGGCCTTTTCACTCTCCTGGTAAAGTGGAGTTTGCTGGAGGCCACGTGGCCTGTGATATGAAGAGGACGTGAACGCAAAAGCAGCTAGGAGAATCTGGCTGCCTTTTACTAAGCTACACATTAACGAGATCTGCAAAAAATATAAAACTATGTCATTCTTCTCCCTAATTTTTTTGTTTTGGAAAACCTGAATACTTCTTACAAAAAAATGTTACTTATGTTAACACAATGTTATTATTATTATATTTTTTGCGGTACGCGGGCCTCTCACTGTCGTGGCCTCTCCCCTTGCGGAGCACAAGCTCCAGACGCGCAGGCTCAGCGGCCATGGCTCACGGGTCCAGCCGCTCCGCGGCACGTGGGATCCTCCCGGACCAGGGCACGAACCCGTGTCCCCTGCATCGGCAGGCGGACTCTCAACCACTGCGCCACCAGGGAAGCCCACAATGTTATTTTTAATATTACTTTAAAATGCTTAAAACTGTTCTCAGTTTTAATTTCTAATACAGTCCATATCGATAGATATAACCCACATAAACAAAATTTCCTTGGGGTCTCACCACTTTTTAAAGAGTGTAAAGGGGTCCTAAAGTCAGAAAGTTTGAGGACTGCTGCAGCCCAGCCTGCTTTCCGGGGACTCCCCACTACCCACCCTGGGGGCCACAGCTGTGAGAAGCATTCGTCCCGCCCTGATGCTTCTGCTCTCCCAGCCTTCAGAGGCCACCACCGTAACGTTGCAAGGCCTGTGGCTGAGCTCTTGGCAGTGGGGCTCTTCCCAAATTCCATGTATTGGTTTTATGGGATGGGGAGGCCCAGTGGTTAAAACCCCCAGGGCCACCCAGTACCCAAGTGGCCTTCTTCTTGCCCTTGGCCAGACTCCATTTTATTAATTTCCTTTTTAGGCCACACCACGAGGCATGCGGAGTCTAAGTTCCCTGACCACGGATCAACCCGTGCTCCCTGAAGTGGAAGTGCAGAGTCTTAACCACTGGACCGCCAGGGAAGTCCCCTAGCCAGACTCCATTCTACTAAGTCATTTGCTGAAAGGGCAGGCCAGATGCCCCCAGCCGGTCCTGGGCCTGCCCTCTGGGCCCGGCTGGGCAGTTCCCCTACGATGCCAGCTGCCGCTCAGACAATACAATGAATGCCCTCTGTGCCGGGCCGTGCCTGCCGCCGCAGCCCAGAGAGTGGAGCAAATAGCAGTTCCATTGGCAAGGGTCCAGGGCAGGGCCGCAGGGTCCCGACAAGGGACGAATGAGGGACAAGGCAGAGCCAGCTGCAAGCTGTCCACCTGTGTGTAGACCGCTGGGTCCTAGGAGTCAGGAGGCCCTTCAAAAAGTGAGCTGCACACGCTGCACGTAGAGTAGCACAGGAAGGCTGGGGAAAGTGGTCAGCTCTGGCAAGGGAGAGAAAGAAGAGAAGGTGACAGGGAGATCGGGCTGGGAGAGTGCTTTGACGGAATCTATGACGTTTTATTTTTTTAGGCTGAATGGTAAGAACGAGGGAGTTCACTAAATTGCCTATCCTTTTTTACTTGCCTGCAATATTTCATAATGTTTTTTTAAGTTGGGGGAAAATCAAAAGGCAGGGGGGAATGTCATCCCAGATCTCTGCTCTGATTACCGGCTCAGAAGCTGTCACAATTCAGGCAGCCTGGCAAGGGCCAGAAAACCACGAGACTGCCAACCAGGAGAACTGGGCCTGGCACCGATGTGCTGCTCGTGACTCTCAGAGCCTCGGCGCTTCCACATCTGCAAGTGGGGGAGCCCAAAGGTTCCGCCAGCCTGGAAACGGTGACCCAGGGCTCCCTGCTAGTGAGGACTCAGCTCTGCCAACACCTGCCGCTTCCCTTCCCACGCTGTTTGACCCACACTCTCCCAGCTCTGCCCTTGCCCACCCTCAGCCTTCCTCAG